CAGACAGTCCCAGGTGCTAACCATGGGGAGTAGGACACTGCTGTCATCAGACAGCAATTCTGGTCAACTGACTCCAGCTGCAATTGTTCTCTTGCTGTCTGACTGCTCTGCCTGTACAGCCGAGCAACCAAGGACAAGGGAACTCTTTATTTACCACAGCTAGTCTTCATGTCTACAAATAATATCCACTTCAAAAAAGGAAATAAACTCTTTTTTTTACTACATCCTCAGAGCTCTTTACTCCTTGTCCCTACATAATTTCATCCCCAACACCCCAAAATTCAACTTTAGGCCCAGGTTTGCTGCATAAAAAAGGTGGTTTGCTGTACAGAGTTTTCAGCATACATCTCTCCAAAGGAGCACATGGTCTAATACATAATCCAAGCAAGTGAAATGGAAAACAACAGGAATTGTCCACAATGAAGTCAAACCAAGCTAAACCAGAGCACCCTTCCCAGAACACAAGCATCTGCCCACAGGCAATACAGGGACAGCTGCCACAGTTTACACTCACTCTTCCACCCCTCTGTAACTTCCAGCTATGAACAAACTAAAGGACAATCTGACCCCAAAGCCAAGCCCTCTCTTGCTCCTGCCCCACAAGCCCCAAGCCCACACACTGTGCCTGTACCTCATAGGTGATGTCAATGAGGGTTTTGCGTGGGAGATCTCTGAGGTGTGTTTGGTGATTTGTCAGCTGCTGGAGGAGCTGGATGCTCTCCAGCAGAGCCTTCCGGTCCTACAAAGGAAAGATAAGCCAAAACCACAGGACATATATCAGAAATCAAGCTGAAGGCTCAGGTAATAATCCACTCTTTAGATGTTTATGGCTACTTGTAATAAGAAACACGCAGTTGTTTCTTGATTGGTCACTCAGCTTTTTCCAAAATCATGTTTTCCAGCTGGATGTGACAACAGATCCCTTCCTTCCAGGAGAGGTAGGAGCTTCCTGTACTATTTGACACAGTTCCTACATTCTCCTCAGGAACAGACATTAAAAAAGCACAAAGAGTCCTTGGATGGCACAACAGAAACAAACTGAACTTGATGCTTCAAGTGGCACTGCATTGATTACCCAGTGACCCAGCCTTTCTGTCCATCCTCCTTCCACAGCAGAAGCCACTGACACACCTGACAGCAGTGTTACCTTCACAAGCCGTCCAGACTGGAACAGAGCCATCACTCCAAAAAAGTTACCAAAAGCAGCATTTCTCACAAGTTTCTGAAAAGAAAAAAAAAAAGAAAAATAAGAAAATAGGTAAAAATCTACTTTCTTGAGAGGCTAGAGCTCACATGCAGCTACACAATCAGTGGAGCAAGATGGCAGGAAAATCCAGCCTTGAACACCCCGCCATGGGAAGAGAACATACTGAAAAGCAACCTCCTGCACAATGGTTAAGAACTGTCCTAGAGTACCTCTTCATCACACTGACAAATCTCACCTAAAACAGGGCCAGATGACAATGTCATCAACTTCCAACTTCTAGAAATATTTGTTATTTCATTTTAGTCACTTGCTTTAACGTGAACCCCAAAACTACACTATACACCAAGACTTCAAAGAATAGAGAACAATTAAAGTAGCCGTTGGCAAATGTTGCCATGAGCTTACTTACTTTTTTCACTTTTTCCAGATTGTGTTTTTCTTTTATCTGTTCCAAAATGCTGCACAGCGGAATTTCCTCAAAAGCCTGCAAAACCTGAGGAGAGAGATGGAGTAGCTGTTTGCAGTTCTTCCATTTCATGACATTATCTTGGGTTAAGCTAAAATAGAGCTGAAGAGTTGTTCAGCACAGCAGCAGATGTGCTGCTTTATCAGGCCAGAATAAAGACAACCAGATCAGTAAAGATGTATAGAACAGGAAGCAGGCTGGGAGAGCTGGGGTTGTGAAGCTTGGAGAAGGCTCCAGGGAGGGCTCAGAGCTTCTTCCAGTGCTTAAAGAGGCTCCAAGAGAGCTGCAGAGGGACTCTGGAGTCCCAGAGTGCCAGGACAAGGAGGAACGACTTCACATTGACAGAAGGTCAATTTAGGTTAGATATGAGGAAGAAATCATTCCCTGTCAGGGCAGTGAGGCTCTGGCACAGACTGCCCAGAGAAGCTGTGGCTGCCCCATCCCTGGAAACGTTCAAGGCAAGGCTGGATGGGACTTGGAGCAACCTGGTTTAGAGGAAGGGCAGATATCCCACATCAACCAACCAAGACCAAGAGCAAGACAGTTTTAAGAAGCAGTAATAGTAATAAACAGAAAATAATTGAAAACTTGGTCAAAATTTGTAAATCAAGGATGGTCCTTCAAGCAGGACTGAATTCTGTAGTATGAATGTGATATTGGTATAGTTCGTAACTTTAAAAGTTTCTAAAGCACACTAGCACCATTTGAAACTACGGTTATTGTGAGAGCCTTCCCTCCCATGAGCACAGAAGGGAGTCCTCTAGACTTGCACAGACAGCAAAAGTGACCCCAAGCATGGACAGAGGCTGCCCAGGATCCTGACCCGCGCTGGGAAACACTGACCTGCGCCAAGGCCAAGCTGAACCCAGGGCGGGCGGCCTCGCGGGTGGCTCCCAGTCCTTCCACCAGCCGCTTCAGGGTGTACTTGAGCTCATCATCCTGCAAGAGAGACCGAGCTGGGCGGTGTCCGGGCTGCTCCGAGCGCGGCCCGGCCGCCAGACCCCCGCGCCCGGCCCGTGCCCCGTCCGCGCTGCCGCGCTCCAAGCGGGAGCGGAGCGATGAGCCGTGCGATGCGGCACTGCCCGCCCGCACCCACCGCCCCTCCGGCCCCCGCCTCACCTTCTTGCCCTCCCGCAGGTGCCGCAGGAGGCTCTCGGTGGCCGCCAGCCGCACTTCCTGCTCCGGCTTAGCGATGTCCCAGAAGAAGTCGAGGAAGGCGCGGCCCTGCCGCAGCACCCCGCGGGGGTCGGTCACCGCCGCGCCGCCGGCCCGCGGCTCCATCTGCTGCATCTGCTCCATCCCCGCCATGCCGCCACCGCCGCCGCACGTGGGGCCGCCCGCCCGCTCCGCCTCTTCCGGGGCAGCGCGGCCGCCGCGGGACGGGCTCGGCCGCCGTGTGAGCCGCTCTCCTCCGTGCCCCCGGTACCTCGGTCCCGCTCCCGTTGTGGCCGTGCCTCAGCGCCTCACGACCCTGCAGCCCGCTCCCCTCAGCGCCCCATGGCCCTTCTGCCCCGTTCCCCTCAGCGCCTCACGACCCTTCAGCCCCGTTCCCCTCAGCTCCTCCCGGCCCTTCAGCCCGGTCCCCTCAGCGCCTCATGGACGTTCAGCCCCGCTCCCCTCAGAGCCCCATGACCCTTCTGCCCCGTTCCCCTCAGCGCCTGACGACCCTTCAGCCCCGCTCTCCTCAGCGCCTCATGGCCGTTCAGCCCTGCTTTCCTCAGCTGCTCCCGGCCCTTCAGCCCCACTCCCCTCAGCGCCTCACGACCCTTCTGCCCCACTCCCCTCAGCGCCTCATGGACGTTCAGCCCTGCTTTCCTCAGCTCCTCCCGGCCCTTCAGCTCGCTCCCCTCAGCGCCTCCCGCTCCTCTCGTCCCCCCGTGTCCCCTCAGGCGCCGTTCCCCTCATGGCCGCCCTTCCCACCTCGCTCCCTCAACCCCTCATCCCACAAATTCGGATTGCTTTCCCGGTGTGCGCAAGCCAGTCGTGACACACTTTACGGACACACTGATGGATTATTTCAGATTTGCGCGAGCCGCGGTGCTCGGTGGTGTTCCACAAATCCAGAACACCCCACTGGGCTTTTCACACCATTATTTATACTCAGAAGTTCAGATTACTAATTTATCAAGTACTGCCCGTATATCGGGATTGATTAGCAATTTACAAGTTGTTTAACCTCAGCTAATTTCTAGACATGTTGAGGGGAATGGTCTTCACAGGGTATTTAGAATTATAATGAACATAGATCAGCTATGGGATACATGGACCTTGAGTCTCCTACTAAGTTAGCAAAGTATATACAGATATTCGGACCAAAATCCAAATTTATTACATCTTAATGCTCATTAGTTCCATGACATCTTTGAGTGGACATCCTTGAGTAAGGGATGCTGACTGCTGTCTGCCCCACGGTTGGTTCTCTTTTCTTGCTGAAAGTATGAAAAGATCTTACATTAAAGAACATTACTACTTAGGATAATCTTGACTTATTCCACATTTTACAACAGCCCAGCTCCCCTCAGCACCATGCTCCCTCCTCATTCCTCCTCCTGTGCCCTGCCCCAAGGGTTCCCGGGCTTCCCTCACGGGGTTCGCGTCTCTGGAGGGAGGCTGGGATCCGGGATCCGGGATCCAGGCTGGATCCTGTCCCGGCTGGGCCGGAGCCGGGATCGGCAGCGCAGGGCCAGAGACACGAGGCATAGCTGGCGATCGTATGAGAATCTGTGGTGTGTTTTACTAGAAAACGTTGAATTATGGCCTGTCAAAAGGAGACAAACCAGCTGCTACAAATGGTAATTTTAAGGACACTGTGAAGCTCTCGGGTACGGCCCGTTGTGGTAATTTGCATTAAAATCCAGCACTATCCTCCAGCAGCCCTGTGAACGCTGCGTGCGGCTGCCAGACACCCACGGGAGCGCAGGGAATGACCGCGGGGCAGGATCCATCCCTGTGATCACTGCGGATGACTGTGACACCCGGAGCAGGATCCATCTCCATGAGCTCTGCGATCCCTGCCCGCAGCGACAGCGGCACGCTCGGGGAACGAGAGCCGCGGGCTGGCCCCGTACGAGCAGCGGAGCGGCCAGCGCTCACCGGGCACATCCCCGGGGATCCCCCACAGACACCGGGCACATCCCGGGCAGACCGGGAGCAGACCCCGGGCGGAGCAGCGGTAAATCCCGCGCGGATCGCAGGGCAGGCACCGGCCGGATCCCCGCGCGGATCCCAGCCCGGAGCCGACGGCAGCGAGCCACGCCGCGCACCTCCCGACAGGCAGCGGCGCGGGCAGCCCCGCCGGGGCGGGGAGCTGGAGGCAGGCAGCGCGCGGGGCAGCCCCGGCCCGCGCGCCGCGGTATATAAGCGTTGCGGGGTCCTCGGGCGCGGTCCTGTCACGCTCGCACGGGGACGAGGCCGCGGCGGCGATGGCGGATTTCGATCCCTACGACGACCGGGCCTACAGCAGCTTCGGCGGCGGCCGCGGGTAAGCGGGGCCGGGGGCAGCGCTCGGGGCTCCCCCCGCAGCTGGGACGGTAGCGGGGGGCGGTGGCCCCGGCCGGGCGAGGCGGGGGCGCGGCCGCAGGGCCCGGCCTGCCGCGCTCCGCGGGGATGGCGGGCGGGGGTTGCGGGCCGGGGGCGCTGCCCGTGCGAACTGTCCGGGCTCGCTCTGCCCCCCTCCTGCGGGGCGGGGGTGCCCTTGCGCCGGCCCCGCTTTGTGGGCGGGGCGGGGGCTGCGCTCCCGGGGTCCCGGCCGTGCCCGCGCTGCTCCGGCCGGCGCCGCAGCGGCCAGGGCCGGGCGGCTCGGGAGGGGGCGGGGGGGTGAGGGTGTCGCTGTTCCCGCCGTCCCGGCGGCGAGTGGAGGGGGGATTTAGGGAGGTGCTGGGCCGGAGCCAAGGAAGGCCGTGAGGAGCTGGTGCGGGGCCGGGCTGGGCGGAGGGAGCGTCCCCGAGGCACTGGAGCCGGGCCGGAGCGCGGTGCTGGCGGGAGCAGGCGCCCCCGGGAGCGGGCAGCGCTGTGCTGCCTGCGGCGGGAGGAAGGGCGAGGCCTTTGTGGTGTCTCCGCCGGGAGCTGCGGTCCTGCGTTATCCGGGGCTCCGGTGTGGCTGCAAATCCCTGATCCTGGGCAATCGGGCTTGTCGCCGGCTCGCTGCTGAACAGTGTTTAGGGGAGGAGCTACAGAGACAATAACTCGTAATCAGAAGTTTGTGTTAAATCAAGCTAGGAAGGTGCAATCCAACAATTGATTTGTTTTTTGGAGGCTGGTGCTGTTACAAGTTTCTTTGAAATAAAGCAGTAGGCATAAACCTGTGGAATAAACTTCTTTGTGAACAAATCTTCCCAAGTGTGTTACTGTATAATCTAATCTTCCAGGGTGTATTGCCTGATCAAAAGTGTGTTCGTGTCCTTTTCTGCTCTTAGATAAATAACTGGGTTTCGTTTCAGACTCTTTAGGCAGCAGGGAGGAGCTGCTGGACTTAGAACAGCAGTAAGTTTTTTTGTGTCTTTGGAGGGACTCTGCTGCTTTAAGCTTTTCAAGCTCATTTTCATGCACTGATACCCTTTGTGTCTAATTCAGAGAGCTCCCAGAGCAAACAGATGATGTAGCCACTTGCATTTCTGTTGTTTTTTTAAATTCTGTAACAAAATAACCATGCCAGCAGCCTGAAGGGATACTTGACTCACTGTAAACTCAGATATTGCTGCACAGTGTGTCTAGTCAGTGTGGGCATATTCTGTGAAGGAATAAAACGCCAGGTGAAATGTTATTCAGGTTCCTGTGAGAGAACTTAAATTTGCTGTCAGGGAGGATGTGGATCCTTGCTTGCTAAACTGAAGGCAGCCTGCAAATTAGTAGATGTCTTTACAGATAAGAAAATGTACTTATTCTGATTTACCTGCAGTTCTAAACATCAGATACTACTGATATTGGAGTCCAGTGTACACTTCTATCTAACTTACTGTAACTATGAAGTTACTAAGAGCTAACTCACAGTTGAGTCCCTGTGTACATTGTGTGGAGTCCTGTCATATCTGAGCTGTAGTGAAAACTACAGAGTTCTTGAAGGCTCTGATTAAAGAATCCCATGTTCCTTTGAAGTGCTCCTGCTCATTTTTGGGTGCTCTAGGACTGCAGGAGCAGTGTAACCTCAGCTGAGGTGTAGTAGTTCTTGTGGAAGTTGCACTTTGCATAACCTTTGGTGCACATAACGAGTGAGCACAGGATTTCAGTGTGGCAGATGGGAAATCAGTGCCCAGCAGGTTCTGACATATGGAACTTAGCTGCCTCTCTCATAATCATCACAGTAATGGTGGAAGAGCATCAAGATATGAGTGGTGTGGTGAGATGGGGTTTGCTGCACCTGAGATGTTCAGTGATGCACTGACTGAAAGCTGAATCATAACATTGGGGGGTATTATGAAGTCACTTAAAAAAGTCACTTTATTCCTGGTGAAGAATGTGATGCTGACACAAATGACAAAAGGCTTACTATGAGCTTTTTGGAAAGTATTTTGGAGCCAAAATTTGACAGGAAAACCTATAGGTAAGTATACCAAGGCCTAGTTGAAACTGAAACTGTCTGTAGAGCTCAGAGTTGAGAGAAGGGGAGTGTTCACCACTCCTAACTCACTGCTAGGCTGTTTATTTAGGTGTGGCTTGAAGTGCTGGGCACTAAAGGTTGGGATTCACCTGCTGAAGTGCTGCCCAGCTCAGTGAAAATGGGGAGTTAGTCCTTGTGCTTCTGGCAGCCTGGGTCCTCTGCCTTACCCACCTAGCTTTAAAGGGATCTCCTCATTTTCAGGCTTGGGTGGGCATTTTGCTGATGTCTCCAGACATGTCCTGGGTTGCTTGAATAAATTGGGTTTGAGTTTGGTGTTGTGGTCTGGAGGGTTGGCACTGTCACCCTGCCAATCCCTGTGCTCCCCCAGGACAGCTCTGATGTCAGAGCCCAGGGCAGGCTGTTGTCTCTGTGCTGTGCAAAAGGCAAATCTTGAGCTTTGATCTCTAGAGAAAGGCTAACTCAGATCCTGGCTTTCAAAGTAGCCTTCATTTTGAACTTCTGGCAGATCTTATTTTCTGGAAACTTGACTAAACTTTGCATAAGAATAGCTTTAAAATTGGAGTTGAGTTGTTTTCTACCCAATATGGCCAAAATAATTAACTCAGCCCACCAAAGTTCAGTTCTGGGGATGTTGTTAGAAGCAGGCTTGCCTCTTCAGCATTCTGCTGTGGTTTGCTCACAAGGAAATCAAGCCATGTCTTTCAGATTCTCACAGTAAGATGACATAATAATTATTATTACTTAATTGTGTCTAAGCAGAAGTTTGGAGTGGGAAGTGCAGATGTTCATTCAGAACTCTGTTTGCCTAGTTCAGTTGTGTTTTCAATTATTTTTTTTACTTTTGTCCTACTTTGTTGCAAATGAGAGAATCTTCTTCCAATCTCATTGTTTGGTTACTGAAGTCAGCCCTTGTATTTCACTGTTTCAGTGTTGGAAAAAATGTAGAGAAGTACAGAAACAGTTTCTTTTTCTGTTGCTATACCTGAGTTCTATAAGAAACTTGGTTTGAAACTCAGTTATTGACCATTCCTGTTCTTCAAATGGAAACTAAATACCACAGGTATAGTTATATATTTGATAAACAAAGCCTGAATATCAAATTGGAGAAGAATATCTAATTTTCTGGCTTTAAAAGCAGTCTGGATTGCACAATAGGGCATGGATTTCTACATATGCAGCCCATGAAGCTCTGGTGCACTGTGGTAGAAAGGAGTTTGTCTGTAGCACAGAAAATCCTTGTGGGGATTGAGAGTGTGGTCTTAGAAGTGGCTGAAATGGAGCTGAGTGGAGGGTGCTGATGGAAGTTGTAGTTCCAGCCCTTGTTCCCCTTCTCATTCCCAGCTTGGCAGAGTGCTCTTTGCAGCTGTCCTGATCACCTTGTTGGCTGTGGACTCAACTCCAGGCTGGATTTTTAGGTGACTGGCAGCTCAGGGAATGTCCTGAGAATATATACAAGGAGAGAATGCCCCTTTGAAACTCAGCTCTCATGTTCCTGGAGGATTTAAACGTGAAGATTTTCTTTTTTGGATGCTGGTGTGTTAATAGCTGTTCCTAATGCTGTAAGTGATAAATGAGGACAAAGGCACAGAACTGATTCTGTGTGTTATGGGATTATTTAGAGTAGCAAATCAGCTTTCCTGGAGTTCCTCCTTAAAACTCAGCCTTCAAGTAATTCAAAACTATTACAGCTTCAGTTCTCCAGTATGTTTTTGACTTGTTAATGAGACAAAAGCAGATGAGGAATATTGTCAAAAATGCTAAAATGCAAACCTGGGTGGACGCTAATTAAAGATATGTAGATTGTGGTTCAAGTAGATTTAGCAGCATGTTGATAGTGGTGGTGACAAATGATTCTTGCATGGAGCTGCTAAATAAGGCACAAATGACAGGCTGACCTAGGAAGTGTTAAGGAATCTATCTGATTCATTAGTAGTAAGATATTTATTCTTGAATGAAAAAAAATACTGTCAAGGACCTTGCTGGCCCAATGGACTTTTTTGACTGCATGCAACCAACCAGAATAAAATGAAATTACAAAATTTTTTGACCTTCTGGATTTTAGGAAAGACTCTGCAGCTATTTAATTGGCCCATGTCAGATTGGGAAATCCTGCTTTGGTACAGCTTGTGTTCCATCGTGGTTTTAAATGTACAGGGAGCAGACACAAGCAAAGCCCAGTGGAAGGAAAGTGATAAAGGGAAGATGGACAGAGTAGTAAGTAGATATTTCAAGTAAAGGTCAGAAATTGCTTATGTGGGACAAATGGTGTTGGATCCAGTGGCATCCTCTAGTCTACAAGTGTAGGAGCTTTGACTTCAGGTTGCCTTGTACATACCTTGCTCTCTGTACAGAAATGCCAAGTTGGCTTTTGAAGATCGGGCTCTGCAGGAAGTTCACACAGATGTGTCACATTAGTAGAGTAAAGAATTTATCTGGTACAATTTAATTCCTCAGCACACAGTGCCAAGAGTTTCACTGGTACTGAGGGACAAGACAGGAAAAGACCACCCAGTTTACCTCTAATTCACAAGACAAAAGAAGTAAGCATCCAGAGAGCATGTGATTTTCTTCTGCCTCAGAGTACCATGTTCAACTAAATTTATTTTGTGTTCAGTTCAAAGCATTCCAGTCCAGATAGCCAACAATTATGGCCACAGCTTCAGACTTAGGGGAAGGTGTTTCTCTTAACTTAAATGTTGCTGAGGTAATTCGGGTGATTCTGGAGTGAGTGTTGATGATATGCTCTTTAGTTAAAAGCATTGGATCCAGCTTAATTTCCAGATAAGCTGACAAACCTGTGCCATACAAGTGTTTCTTCACTGCCATAAATTATTCTTAAAATCGATTCCAAGATGAGTTTTTTAGAGGTAATATTTTTGAGCAGAGGACATCAGAGGTAACCTTATGTTGCTTTCCTTAATGAATTGTGGGTTAAGAAGTTCATTCATCACTCCATTAATTAATTCAGTTTCCCACTGAAGTACTGCATCAGGTAATACTGGAAAGGCATTGACCAGCAGTTCAGGTGGTACATACAAGCAAAAGGATAGAAAAATTGATCAAGGCTGTGGGAAGATGGACTTGCAGCTACACCCAGCACCTGGGCAGGGCTGTGCTGGGAGCAGCTCCAGAGGCACTGTGCTTTTCCCAACAGGTCTCGTGGTGGTGGCCTTGGTTCCCGCAGAAATAAAGAGCTGCCAACAGAACCCCCTTTCACAGCTTATGTGGGAAATCTGCCCTTCAACACTGTCCAAGGAGACATAGATGCCATTTTCAAGGATCTCAGCATAAGGAGCGTACGACTAGTCAGAGACAAGGAAACAGACAAATTTAAAGGTGAGTGTTCAGAGCTCTTTGGTGGTAGATGAAAAATTAGTAGGAAAGAAAGTCACTTTAAAAGGGAATTTCAGTCTAAACACAGTATTCTGCTTTTATGTTGACTTAGGAAGGTTTTCTTATTCACTGATATGTGTAAGTGTATCATTTGAATGAGAGTCACTGTCTCATCATCTTGAGATACAGAGTAACCTGAGTGAGGAGTCAATATTTGCCCTGGCATAAAAGCTTCTCAAACCTTGTCTGATATGAATACTACCAGAGCTGACCCACTTAAATCCTATGACCTTAAGTATGAAGTAATTCCTTTACATCAGAAGACTCTCATTGCTTCAGCTGTTGTCTTTTTTTAGTAGACAGAGAGAAAAAGCTAGTAGATAACCCATTCAGGCAGTTGTTTTAGAGGATGCAAATTCAACTGCTAGGGGAATTGTGTGGTGGAAATGGACTGTATTTCTAAGTTACTTTAAGGGATGGAAAAGCTTTACCTTGGATAACAGAGGGCCTTTGAAAAGGAGTACATCCACTAAATGATGTGATTATACAAAATCACACTGCTGACCACATAACTATTTCAATTTCTTGTTTAAAAACTCTAGGAATGAAGTGTCAATATTCAGCTGAATAACTGTCTGAAAGCATAGATGAGAGCTAATCTATAATGAGAACTCTGTGAAAAAAAGAATTAGGCTCTTTCCATTCAGAGTGCCCAGGGTTCTGTTTCAGGATTTGCCCCATCATTAACAGGTGCAGGTGAATGTGTTCATTGTTGGTGATGATTGTTTTCTAAGCCATGTGCATCTTGTATGTGCACATCCCAACTCATGTTTAAAAGAGAAAGAAGCTATTAGCAGGCATGCAGGAGGATAGCCTCTTGAAAGGCCTTTTAAAGTGCTATTAACTTGAGATTTGTTTCTTACAGGATTTTGTTACGTAGAGTTCGATGAGGTGGAGTCACTCAAGGAAGCTCTTACATACGATGGTGCGGTAAGTACATTTGCAATTCATTTGTGAAGTCAAAAACAAGCACAAGCATAAGTCTCAAACTCTTTGGCAGCCCTTTTGATCCATCCTGAACAGATTCTCCCTTGATTTAACAGCTCTTGGGTGACCGGTCACTCCGAGTGGACATAGCAGAAGGCAGGAAACAGGATAAAGGTGGCTTTGGCTTCAGAAAAGGCGGCGGGCCTGATGACAGAGGTGACTTCCATTTTTCTAAGTAGCTTCTTAAATATGATGGTCATAGTTATGGCTTCTGGTGCTGACTAATGCTAAGACAAGGCATGCAAGTGAACATGGAGCTGATATTGAAGAGTGATATTTTGTATGTAAATATGTACGTGTTTCTAACTAGCTGCTGCTGCCGCTCCTGAGGTGTCTGAAATTTAGCTGTGCTTTGTGTCCAAAGGCTGGATGTGTTGTCACTCCTAACCCAGGAAGTGAGACCAATACCCCTACTGATGTGTTGTGTCTTGCAGAGGACAATCATAAGCCCAACAGTCTGATCTGCTACTATTTTATGATGATGTATGAAAAGTGAGTAAGCACATGTAGACAAGTGCTAATTTTGGAGTATTTATCTTGTTCCAGTGTAAAAACGTTCTTGCCTGTAGTTGAAGGTTGGTTGAACCAGACTCCCCAGAAGTTTCCATTGAATGTGTACTAAAGAAACTTTTCTGGCCACTTATTGGTGGTTAACTTAAACTGGCTGTTTGTTCCTGTGCAATGGAACTTGGTTGTACCAAAAGAAAAGGGTTTTCCAGCAGCATGACTTTGAATATTGAAGGACTGAAACATTGGTTTGGTATTCCCTTGCTCAGTCTTTCCCACAGCTTCACACTTGAACACAATTGTGGCTTTTTTCCTAGGAATGGGAGGAGGTTCCAGAGAATCCAGAGGAGGTGGATGGGATTCCAGAGATGACTTCAATTCTGGTATCAGTATTAACACTTATACAGATAGGAAGCCTAAAAGGCACTGAAATGTTCTCATTTTCATTTGTCACCATTACTGGTTAGATTGAATCTACTGTATGTACCAACTTTGGACATCCTGCAGCTGTGATGGGATTCCTCGTGGGAAATCTTCCATTTCCATGAGAGGAAATTGTCTCAATAGAAAATTCTATGAAACAACCGTAAATAACAGAATTCTTGTCCAGATGTAGCCCATGGGTGACTGTTTTAAGCATTTCTCAAGCATACAACTAAGTAAATTTCTGAATAGTAGCAGAAACAGACAGATCATGTAGGAAGGCTGATTCTCTGTCAGAGCAGAGGCTTTCATCTTCTCAAGGAGATGTGATGTCATTATATGGGTGTCCCTGGAGTAAATGACTTCTCCACAGTCAGATTAGTGTACCAAAGCACTTGTAAATGCAAAACGTTCCTAAACTTTCAGCCCTGCTTTGGTAATGCAGCTGCAGCAAGTGACTGAGCTTGCTGAGTGGAAGGCAGTGACAGAGCCACTGGGTTTGCTCTTAGCTTCCAGTCAGTTCCAGCTATTAGAATGCAGGGCAGTATTAACACAATTGCTTTTGTCCTCTGAACTCATGGGTTTGGTCCATTTTCTGATGGAGAGATGTTGGCAAGTACGACGTTGCAATGTCTGGTCTCTGCGTGAGTGGAATGAAGGATGCAGGAGAGGCCAGGTGTGTCCTTGCCCCCAGCATGGATTGGAGCATGGTGCTGGAGACAGGAGCTTGCTGCAGTGCTGCGCTTAACCTGCCTTTGGAGCTAAGCATTCTGTGTCACAGCTTCATACCTTCTTTGGCAGCTTCTCCAAATGTGGATGCATTTCAGCCTGTTAAATGCTGGATGAGTGATTTGTGAGCCAGAAGTTTAGCATTTCAGCCTTAGCTGCTACGGAAGCTTTTCTTCTCAGGTTGTGCAGCCTTGCTCTAGATCAAGTCTTTAAAGATGGCTTGTTTGGCACTGAAGTAAGTAAGGGACAGCTCTGCAACTCTGCCAAATACTGAAGTGGAAAGGAGAATCTCAGTTGGGAACCAAACAACTTTCTCTTCCAGGCAGCTTCTGAAAATTTGAGTGTATTCCCTTTCTTTATGCTGATAGCCTGAAGTATCCTCCTCCCACTGAAATGCAGGCAGTGGGGGCTTGGAGAGATACTGAAGGGTAGTCACTGGTACAGACTGGAACTCTGGTCAGTGACAGATACTTCTTGATTTACTTTTTTTTTTTATTTACTTTTTTTTGGTGATACATAAACTGAAGAAATGCAGTCAGTTTAAAGTCTGATTTTTTTTATTTTTCTCCCCCAACCCTTTAATTAATTTAGTAAATGCCTGGTCAGTTTATAGTACAGCTAAACAGTCCTGGGGTTTTACTCTGTTTTATAATTGTATTTCACTACTCCCCAGCTATTTTCCAATTTGCTCCTGCAGATTTCATGCTAAGGCTGTAGCCAGTGTGATGATCTGGCTATGGAAGTACTCTGAGTACCGTCTGAGTACTACTCTGTAGTGCTGTCTCTCAACTCAGCTAATGATGTTAAACTCAAATTTCAGCCAAGGTTTATATTTTAAACTCACTTGACCCACTCTCCAGCACTCCAATAAGCCTGTAAGTGGATAAAGCATTTCTGAACTTGGCATAGTATATGTGGTTTCAGATGGAACCTGAACAACTCCTCCAGAAGGTGCTAGAGCTCTGTGAAACAATCTGTCTGCAGACAAAGGCTCTCAGTGCACCACCTCGGACTGACAGCGCTGACTAGCAAGGTTTTCCAGATAAATCTAGATGAAATACATTGCAAAAGATGCTCTTTAAATTCACTGTCTTCCATCTTCAGGATTCAAAGATGATGACTTCTTGGGAGGTCGGGGCAGAGGAACCCGCCCTGGAGACCGGCGGCCACCAGGTGCCTCCATGGGAAGTGGTGGCACCGGTCGCTTCAGAGATGGGCCTCCCCTCCGTGGCTCTTCCATGGACTTCAGAGAGCCAACAGAAGGTAAACTCCTCCCGTGTGTGGTTTGCTCTTCCTCTGCAAAGGAGACCCCTGGTTTCGCTGTCAGGTTAAAGCTCCTGCCCTTCCCAGGCAGATCTCACCAGTGGAATGTTTTTCCTTTCAGAGGAAAGAGCACAGCGACCCCGACTCCAGCTCAAACCTCGAACAGTCGATACTCCCCTCAACCAAGTAGCCAATCCAAACTCTGCGATCTTTGGAGGAGCCAAGCCCCGGGAGGAAGTAGTAAAAGAACACGACTGAGTTTGGGGTTGAGAGGGAATGGGGAGGCGGGAGAAAAAGCAAGACAGTACAGAGTGACTAGCTCTGCTGGAATGTCAACCCTGCAGTTTACCATTCCTGCCATCTGGTATTTGTCCTCTTTGAAACCGAAAACACAGAGCTTGTGAATGCATGTCAGCTGTTAACAAGTGGTTTTTAGTACGTTCTTGGCTTTGCTGTATCTAGTGCCTGCTTTGTGCTGAGTTTCCCTCTTCTGTTTCCTTCCAAGCAGCACAGTTGCCAGTAGATAAGGCAGTGTGGCTGCTTCCACGAGTGTGGAGGTCTCTGGACAAAGGTGCTGCTTCACTTCTTCCTTTCTGGGTTTGTTTTACTTTAGAAGCACAGGTTAGACTTAGTTATTTCCCTGTATTGTTTCCTTTTACTTCCTCAGTGTTCCTCTTCTGACTTGCATGTCTCGTTCTGTATTGCTGTGGCTCTGAAGAGGAAAACTGAAGAGTCCAGATGAGTTGAACAGAAATTTACAGTTCTAACCAAGTAGTGAAATACCATTTATGACATTTGGTGATAGTCACTGTTCACAGCAGAGCCCCTTACTAAAGTAAGGGGGGCAGCTGCCCTTTCACATGGGTTGCCAGGAAGGATCAATTTTATGGATGCCTTGCCTGGCAAGCCTGGTGAATAGCTGGTGGAATCAGTATGGATAAAGCCTCTGCCAGCAGCCTCTTCCTGCTGGCTCTTGACTTCCAAATGGTATGATGCTACTACAACTCTGAGCTCAAGGTTAGTGCTGCAAAGCCATGCCTGTTTGAGCACAACTGCTCACTGGCTCTTTCTGCTTACTTTTTTGGGTTTTACATGTTTGCTAAATTTTTAAATGAAGTTTCTACAAATAAAATTGACTTTTTTATTTTTGTTGAAGGAGTGTATACTTTGCCATGCAGTATTTGATCGTCACTATCCCCTGTATTTCTTTGCCCAGTGGGGTACAGTTTTAGGACCTCAGCTTTCAGAATACCTTGAAAATGGGCAGATTAGTAATCTTTCTGCTATAGATTCTCATGTAGAAGTTTGGGTAAAAAGCATCTCTTGTTACTACACCTCTCTTCCCTTGAAATGTTTCTTGTCAGTGTTGTGTGGGAGGAGGGAGGGGAGGCTGAAGCAAAAGGAGAAATCATTAATTTTGAACACCAAAACCTGGTTCTACCACACTGAAGTTTGGACATGTCCAGTGTATGGGAAAAGCTTGGGCCCCTTTTGCCAGTGCTGAGAGCCTTCAGCTAAACCAGCCAGCACCCCAGAGTTCTTGCAAGAGGAGGTTGGAAGCACGGCTGCCCCACTACCAGCACCACTGCTAGTGATGAATTTCTTCCCTAAGGTTCCCTTTGTAAGTCAGAGTCCCAGCAATTTACAGAACTACTCTTTCCTTCTTTCTGCCTTTCACTTAATCTGCTTCTGAGATAAGAACCATTTGTCTAACACTAATACTTAATTTAAGACAGACATGCATTTGTGTGGTTGTATTCCAAACCAATAATTGACCTATTTACATCTTCAATGTGGAAAAGATTTTAAGAACAAATTCCCATATAAAAAAACTCACTTCTAGTCAAGACAGGTGACTTTTAAATGTAAAAACAAAGGAAAAAAAAAAAAGGAATTCCAAACACTTAGTACATTCTGCTTCATAACAAAATAAATTTATGGATATGGTATTTTGTGAATGATCTTTTAAATAAAAGAAAACATTAAGTAATATTTAACATTGGTCTTTATTTGAGTCTACCATGTTTTTCCCCCCCTCAGTTTTCAAATATTGTGTTAATTTGTCTCATTCTGATACTAAAGCGGGGGAAGAGGAAAAGATAAAGGGGAGGAAATCTAATCTAAAGAGTGCTGGAACAGTGAAGTAAAAATTATGTGTGAAAATGAGCCAAACTTCTTTGTCCTGTGACTTCAGTGTCACTTGAGTGCACTGCTGAGGCTGCCAGGTGGGATTTGGAATTCCTGCGCTTGCAGGTGGAGCAGCTGATCAGGCTGTGCTGCTGCAGGTGGGTGCTGCTGCCCTGTGGCTGGCACCAGGCAGGCTGGGTGCTTCCAGTGTGGGTGCTGAGGCACTAAATGGATCAACTGCTGCTGTTCTGCCAACTTCCTCCAGCCTTTTCCGAGTGACCCGTTTCCCACTAGGCATCATGGTTGAGGAGGCTGCTGCCCTGGGGCTGTGGCTGTGTTTTCAGGGTAAGTTGAAAGAGGTAGAGCCATGTTTTTATTGAGGAAATGAGCTCTGACCTCCCTGCTGGTTTTACTGCTTTCCATAGCCTGAAAGGATGGGAAGTGTTCCTCCCTCCAGCTGCTCAGTCCACTCTCTCAGCACAGCTTGAGCAGAGTCCCAGTCCTGAGCTGGGTGTGCCAGCCCCTGGCTGTCCTGCCTGTCACCCTGAGGAGTGTGGAAGAGCAGGGCTGGCTGAGAGTTGGTCCCCTGCAGCTCTTGCCACACTCAGCCTCAGCTGCTGTGTCAGACTGGTGCTGCTGGAAGCAGGGATTTCATCAGTGCGTGAGAAAAGGAGCCCTGATGAGTGAAAGAGGTGGCAAATGGGTCATCTTAGTTCTAGATGGCTTTATCTGCTAATACTGGTTTGGTTAAGGGTTCCCCTCTAGTGAATGCAGCCTGATCCCAAAATCACTGTGTCGTCTTTCCTTTTTTTCAGTAATTTTTCATTTGCAAATATTCATGCATTGCCTGTTTTCTTTGGAGCATTCCACTGTGCTTCCTATGTGGCTCAGGGTCAGACTCCTCCAGTCCTTTTTCTTTCCCTCCTTCAAAAATTCAGTGGAAGAGCATTTTCCTATACAGAAGCTTATCAAACAAGCTTTTGTCAACAGTTAACACAACTATATTTAATAGATGGATGTGGCACTTAAATTTTGTAGGAGGAAGCAAGATTACTTTCTTCCCAACCTACCAGGAAAAGCAGTTGATGTTTAACCTCTGGTGCTTGACTTTACCTGCTGCTTAAAGCTAAGCCTGGCATGGCAAAGCCCAGACTGAGGAGGTACCAGCAGTGTAGCAAAGGGCTCATTCACTCTGTGGCTGTTCATGCTTTCACTGAGTTATTTCTGGTAGCTGTGCAGGGCTTTCTTCCAGCTTAAACTTAGAAAAATAAACAAAACTGAAGGCAGGAAGGCACCAGGCAGGTTTTGGAACTGAAACCAAGTTTGCTTTGCTACTGTAGGCAGTTTTGTAGGAAGCTTTGCCATGTTACTCCAGTTTGGTTGCAAATGGGGAAGGTGGGAGCCTGGAAGAGCTGTTGGACACTGCAGTGGACAGTAGCATTTAATGTGCTGCAAAAGTCTGCTGTCAGCCACCAAAAAATAGCCCCCACTGAACTCCTGAGTCCAGGAATGCCCTTGGGAGAGCTCGTCCCAGTCCTCAGGGCAGCACCCAGTGCTGGCACGGGTGTGTTGCCAGCTCACTGGGCTGTGCAAGCCTGGAGCAGCTCCTGAGGGGGCTCTTTGTGCTTGTGGCTGTCAGGGTTGTTCTGATGGCTGAAGAAAGAGATGGAGGAGTGTTCACACACTCAAATAAAGGGCTGGTGATGGTAGAGTCACATTAAATTCATGCCCTCAAGTGTGGCTTGCTGGCCTTCCTAAAGCAGCAGCAACTTGCTCACCAGTCTGCTCTGAATCTGCAGTGCTGACTGAATTTCTGAAGCTCTCCAGGTGTCCCAGGGCTGATGATTGTGGCCAAGCTTGCTGTCCCAGGCAGTTTTGGATGACACTGATACTTCTAACTTACCACTGATATAGTTCCAATCCTGACTTTAGTACATAGTCTAGTAGAAGCATTTGCTACCTGTAGTACTGCTGCTGACTTGTCTTCAGGAAAGATGATAAAACTGTGAGAATTTTAGAGCAAATCCTGTAATATTGCAACCCTTCCTATTTGTAGGAAAGATTTAATACTAAAGCCAGCAAATTTGGGAATATATGTGCAACCTCCTCAACCAGAGTGCTGGCATGCTGCAGCTTGCAGAGCAGCCCTTGTCCTGCTGCCTGCTTTGGACAAATCTGCTTGGAGTGACTCTGCTGGAAACCCCCTGTTCCCCCGGGTGTGTTTTGGACACAGGCTCTGTGTGTCAGGTTGGCTCCAAGGCGTAGTCACAGGTTCTCTGTGCCAGCCCCATCCCCTCTCTGTGCACAGAAGCTGTCTTGTGGTTATTTGCACTCACAGCAAGAGCACGGCAGAGGAGCTGTTAACACTGAGCATCTTGAAATCTGTGTTAAGTTGGTGTTTTACATTCTGATGGTTTCTGTCTTTCACTACCAGTGCAGTGCAAAGGCTCTGAAGGAAAGGGACTGCTTGCCTATTCCAGCATATTCTAGTGTAGAATATACAGTTACCTTTGTACTTCTCAAGGGCTTCCCTGGGATGGATTCTCGGGGTGCAATTTAGTTGGTGTTGCTTGTCTTAAATGTTTAGAAAGGAGAGTTTCTGTGACTGAAAAAGAATTTGATTCCTAGCTGAGAGTGGAATTTTCTCATCTCCCTCCTCTTAAATGTCTCTTACCGCTGCAGGAATGAAGTATATTGAAAGTGGCAGAGAGACATCTTTTATTTGGTGCGTACATTTTATTTATATAATCTAATTTATTCTGTTGTTCGTGATAGCACTTGCTGTAGCAGTATTAAACCAAACTGAATAGAAGCATTTAGGATGGTGTAATCACATTTTTGACCCTGCTTGCTGAAAGACTGTAATCCTTCAGTGCCAGACACTTGACTCAAGCCTGATGCACATTAGTAATAGCAATACCTTGATGACATTTTGTGTTCAGCCCCTCTCCTGTGCATTAGGCCCTGCAGGGAAGCTCTGCTGTTCTCCTGTGTGTGCTCACAGGAGCCCAAGGGGGACACAAGACACGAGCCATTGGGTTCTGGTGGTGTCTCGGTGGGCACACGGTGTCAGCATTATTAGATCTGGAATCCTGTTCCTCATCTCACTGTACCTGTTTGAGTGACTGAATCCAAAGCATTTTCTGGTTTCCTTTTCCATCGTGGCAGCGACTCTGTTCCGTGCCCTCACCTGCTCAGCAGCAGGTTCAGTGTGACATCAGCTTCCCTCATTTCTGTCCCCTCTGCAGCAAAATACATCCAAGGGCTTCGAGGACTTTCAGCACTGTTACAGGAACAACCCTCTTACCTGTGTGCTCACCAATTCCTGTGTAAAACTCTAGAGTATCCCAGGGTTGATGTTTTTGGGATGTTATTGCTGGGAATGCTACCACCACCTTTCTGCCCAGTAGGTTTCAGCCAGGTTAGTGTTCCCTGTGGTCAGGATTTGCTTCCTGCCACGAGATTGTTTTGTTCATGTCACCGTGCTCCCGAGACCTGCCTCTTTCTTTTAAATAAACCAAAAACTCACAAAGTACCTCTATAAACCCCTGCAAAATCTGTACTGTAACAAATCTGTATAATTTGTATTGCTGTATAAAAATTCAAATAAAAGCATTCAAACCTTCTAGGTTTTTGTGTTCAAATTTAAGGATTATTGTGTCCACAAGGATGAGCTCAGCAGGATAAGAAAGGGAAGCTTTGTACCAGAGGGATTTGTGGGATTAGTCTTTGCAAAGTCTACTTGGCCAAAGTTTTGTGAAGCACCCAGGCATCCTGGCTGTGAGATGACTTTCCACTGGGTAGCAGCATTTATTTTCCTTCAGCAGGAACAGAGCCACTTTCAGTTTCAGCTCAGAGAGAGCCAACGTGCAGCTGGGCCAGGGGAGGAGGCAGCACTTCCCCTTTGCCTGGGGAAAAGCTCATCCCACTCCAGCAGAGAGAAAAGTTTCCAGGTGAATACAAAACCATCCAGCACTACTTCAGCACATCAGAAAATTTCCTCCAAGATGTGGCTTGTGTTAGAGCTGCTGTGAAAATGTTGCTAAACAAATGGAATGCATTGTAATCCAGTTAGTGGTTGGGATGAGACACAAGCTCATTCTGTCCCAAAGCAAGAGGGGCTTGATGCTGGTGCACAGAAATGCTGGACTTGCAGAGCTGGTGAGCTTGGAGCCTAAAAAACCTGTTGGAGCTTTCTCAAACCTTCCAGCACTGGCTGTGTTTGTGCAGAAGAAGGGGTATAGATGATGCCCTGTTTTCCAGCCCTTGTTTCACTACTGATGTTTGATCAGTGTTAGTCACAGCACCTGATTCAAGCGAAGTCAGCTGGTCTTTGAGCAGCCCCCACCTTTATTTGAAAGAATGTAAATCAGCCCTCGGGGCCCAGGTAAGCTGAGCCCAGTAGAAGATGGGTTCTAATGAGTTTTCTGGACCCAAGAGATCTCTCTGCAGCCTGTCAGCTTTGTATCAAAAGGTGAAAGAGTGGATTAGGTTAACTGGTGACCCTTCCTGAAGGAGTAGGAATTTTGTTACAGGGGGAAAACAAACCCAAGTTGAAATGGATGAGCTTTGAAAAGAGCAGGAACGGTGAAATTACAATGTGGTGTTTCTGTAACTTATTGCAGTAGATAAAAACATGCTGCTCCTTTTGTCAAATGAGAAATTGTTTCTAGCAGCAGGTCTCGATGAGGCAGAGGGGTTTCAGGAGGGCAAAGCTCATTTCCCAAGCTGGGTTTGACCTGAGGGGTCATTTTGTGTGTGTTGGAGGAGAGTTGGTCTGGCCTCATGAAGGGCAGAACCTGTGGCTGTGCTGGGAGGAGCTCGGAGTGAGGATTCATCCCAAACCTTTACATGCAGCCCTTCTTAGGAGAAATCTGCTGCCCTTCTTAGGAGAAACGTGAAGAAGGGAGATGGGATCCACCCAGAGGTGTGTGCTGTGCACTGATTACCCTCCAGGCAGGGGGCTGGCCTCTCCAGAGGACTGATGCCTTTGAAGGACATCACTCTGCCCAAGAGCTGCCACACCACGCTGGGGTGACCCTGCTGTGTCACTGCTTGGGCACAGGAGCAGCTTCTGCCTGCCTGGACAGGCTGAGTGGTCCCTCAGGGGACAGTGTGGGGACTAACACGAGGAGCAGCCCAAGCCAGCCAGGGAGATGTCCACACCACAGCACTGAGTCTCACTTGAAGCTGAGACCCACCAGAGAACCTGTAAACAAATACATGGCACCTTTTTAGCAGTGGCTGTTCCTGATGAAATTGATGAACAAAAGATGAACTTTAAATGTCTCCAGCATATTTTGAGTATCAGTTCTGCTGTAAAGAACTCTTTTGCAAAACTTCTGTTGTCAACTTATGTGTGAACATGTAAAAACCCTGCTAGAAAGCTGTTAATAAACTATAATTGCTAAGACCTCTGCTAGGAATGCCAATTTTGTAACAACTCTTTTGGCAGTGAAAAAAACATTTCACATTTTACAATGTCCTTTACACAGATACCACCCAGAAAACATGTGAGAAATTAAAAGCTGAGTCTGCCTCTTTTTATCTTTGGTTCACATTATACTGATTTCAAGACAGGCTTCAGCACCCAGATTTTGTCTGGGAATGGCTCTGGAAGGTGCATTATTTTTGCATCTCAGGTTAGGAAAAAAAAAATAGGAAGAAAGAAAGTCTATATGTACAGTGGATAATTATCTTATTGAAGTAACGTTTCCTCTGAAAGTTTGATAGCCAGATTTCATCCCAGAGTTGCAAAAATTGTGACCAGTTGGCTCCTTAATAATTTTTATGACGAAGAGTCACCTTCTTGCACAGAGAGCTGGGTGTAGGTGGCTGCCCTAATTTAAATATAACAAAATTTCCCTTTACTGAACATTTACATATAAGAGAGGCTTTGTAGAGCCTTAGTGAGAGCAGCATGAAACGTTTTGTTTATGGTTGTAACTCATGTGCCCCGTGGCTCTTGTACTATTGCACAACTGCACTTGATGTGTGTGTGCAGAATTCCCTAGTGCTGGAGCAGGATCCGTCTCTCATGGACTGTGACAGGGCTTTAAGCCAATACAGAAATTCTCAATAGGGAATTCATGAGCTCTCCTTATTCTACTCAAGCACCAAAAAATTTGAGGAACTACTTTATTTAAGAGTGCAGTGAAATTGTGCCAGTTGTGCTGAAGCGTAGGAACTGTTTTATTCTTACAGCACCAGACAGGAGCTGCAGCTTTGGCCGTGAGCAGTAGTGACCTCAGGCTGTTTGCTGCCTTTGTGGCTTGTTCCCATCTTTTCCACAAACCCCAGAGAGGGACTGCAGTTTGCTGTGCCTGCTTTGAGCCTTCCCTGGCAGCACCTGCCGCTTCCAGCGTTATTCCTGTCCAGGCTCTTTGCTAAAAGGAACCTGAACCTTTGTGGGGCACCAGCAGCATCTGAACCCCAGGGGAAGTGAGCTCAGTGTGGTGTCACGCTGGCCAAGCCTCCTCCTGTCCCCACAGGACACAAAGTGACCCCAGTGGGTTTGTGCAGGCGTCGTCTCTCGGGGCCGCCCGGCCGGGCAGCGGATGTTGGGGTTGGTGATTCACAGGGGACAGGAAACTGCAACTGCAACGAGACCTGCAGGAACCAGCTCCAGCCCCGGCAGCTGGAGGAGCTGGAGGAGCTGGGACACCTCAGGGACAGCTCTGGGTAAGGGGGTGAGGGAGGCAGGCGTGGGCAGGGGAAAGCGCCCGGAGGCGTTTGGGGCTCCTGTGGGGACAGTGGGGTGTCCCAGGGGGCTCAGAGATCCCACTTTAGACCTTGGTGAGCCTTGAAAGAGGTTCAAGGTCACCCCTGTGAAACCTCTCTGGAAAACAACGCGGTGGATGTCCCCTCCTCACTGCTGCTCCTGGCCGTCACCAGCTCCAAGGTAGGAATTTCCAACTCTCTCCTCCCAGCAGCATTTGGAGCCCTCTGGAGCTGAGAGGAGCCCATCCCACACAGCCTGGATTGTCTGTTTTACAGCACTGCTCTTTGCATCTCCTCGTCCATCTGCTTATGGGAGCGTGGGTTTAATTACATTATTTCTGCATTCATATCTTCTAAAATATTCTGGAAGATTCAGTCTGTGCTGAGCTTCCCTCATCCCTGCTGGACCTTCCTCTGGCTCCTGCCTGCAGCTTCTGGGACTGCTGCAGCCCACGCTGCTCCCCCTCCAAAGCCCAGTCCTTAAAAATAGCTGATTCAAACGACACTTCCTGGGTTTTCCATTGATTTCAGGGCTGACTGGCATCATGGGTATGAATGTATTTATTTCACTGCATGTAAGTGCTTGAAATAGCTAATTCTAGATAGAAAGAGATTTGGTTTTTCATCAGTTTTCTCTTGTGTGAACAATGTTCAGTGTAAGGTGGGCCATGAGGCAGATAGTGTAGCAGAAGAGGATAATTTTGGGATAATCTTGTGTGAGATTGGCTCATTTTCGTGGTTCTGGAGTCTTAAGTTACACAGGGGTTGCCTGTATTGCTAACATGCATCCCCTGGGCTCCCAGTGGAAGTGAATGATGCTGGGAGGCTCCAGTGCTGCCTGGAGCAGTTACAAATACAGAATATGTCTGTGAGTTACCTTCTTGTGCTGCCATGCCTGCTGTGATTGGGGTTTTGCACCGTATTTTCCACCCAAGGTCTTTAAAAAGCACTTTCCAAAGTTATAATCTATGTGGAAGTTGGTTTATCAATTCTAATTTTCCCCTTTTATCATAAGTTCTACTGAAATGCATCTATTGGCATGAAAGCCTGAGCTGCCTGAATAGCTGTAAAACCCCAGACTTGAACTCCATGGCACTCCTTCCTAAACAGCCTGACACTGGCACAAATCTGGTAGGAAATGAGATGTGCAGGCCTCCGGAAAGGAGCTTTGCTGAAGGCTCAGTGCTGGTCATTGAAGTCATTCCAGCCACAGCAGAGATTCCTTGCTCTGAGACTTGAATTTCTGAATTGGTGGGACTTTCTGTGGCAATCTGTGCCACACAAGCAAACAGAAAGTGGAGTTGCTTTTCTTAGACACGTCAGAGACATTGACTCAAGCTGAATATTGCATCTGTTCAACAAGTCAGAGTGCTGAATTTCATATGGTAGTCTTTAAATACACTCTCCACTTCATATTTCATAGCAGTGACTCATCCTACCAGCCTGACTTAGAATTAATTTACTGCAAACTGGTGCACACCACAAAACTTTCTGCAGGGGAGAGAAAGTGGCTGCTTTATATTTGCCTTTTGGGCAATTTTTGATTGATACAATACATAATATAAATACATTAAATACACAATATAAATATATTATTTTAGTCTTTATCTTGCAGTGTGAACTCAGGTGTGGGCTTGACATCTGCAAAGGGCTAAAATGGCTTAATCAGAAATTATCTCATGGGAAACCAGGCATTGCTGAGGCCACATCCAGACATTCCTCACGCTCCTGGTTTCTCAGCAAAAAGTTAAAATTCACTTTAAGTGCTCTTGCAGGTTTTTTTAGTGAGCTTTGTGCCTCTTCTGATGCTTTTGGGAAGTTCTTCCAGACTTTCCATCCATTAGGAATTTTATTTCTAGCCTGTGCATATCCAGCTTATTTCCACTCATTTTATGAGCCAGAATTGCCTTATTTCAATTCAGAAGCTTTTCTCACCTTGTTGTGCTGCTCTTGGACAGATGGACAGTGAGTTCCATGTCTTCTTACTCTCCATTTCAGTGGATTTAAAAGCAGAAGACCTTTTACCTTCCTGGATAAAACCACCTCTCCTTCCTCTGGATTTTCGTAGTGAGCCTCGTTACTGGGGTGAATCCTTAAATTAAGACAAGATCTAGCACACAGTAGATAAATTTTGTGAGTTCATTAATTTTCCCAATTTTTTTAGTGAGAAAAACCTGTCTCCTTGCTTGCTAAAAACACCTGAGGCCAGAGAAGGAGCAGCCCCTGGTGGGGCCACAGCTGTGCCCAGCCTCCAGCCTGCTGCTCTCCCAGGAATTGCTTGTCTGGAGCAGCTGCTCCTGAGGGATTTGTGGGGTCCTGGTGCTCGGGCTGTGCCCTGCTCCCACTGGCTCCCTCAGCACAAAAAGGGGAAAAACAGGCAAAAGGAGAAGAGAGCAGCGCATGAACAGAGCAGGGCATTGTGACACAATATGAGTGTCCCTCCCAAACTAGCTGGGAACCTGTTTTCTCCCTGAGTTTGGGTTTAGCATCTTGGAAGCAGGGCTGGCCAGCCATGACCCCACACAGCCCCCTGTGCAGAGACCTCCGTGGCTCCAGGCTCTTTGTTCTGCTCTCCAGCTCCCCAAGGCAGAGCACAGGGAGGCACATGCAGCCTTCCAAATATTTTATTTATATCCTGCTAGCCGTGAGTAAGTGCTTCCAGCCTTCTGCTTGTCATAAATCTGTTCATCACCTCCTTCTGTCAGCTCCTTTCCAGAGCAGGGCTTGTACCAAAGAAAGGTTTTTCCATGGACCTGGGTATTTGGGGAGCACAGATGATCTCCAGGCTGATGTGTGTGTGTGACTTGGGGGCTTTCTTGGGGCATAAAGCTGTGATGGGGTGGGACACACCATGTCCTGTTCAGCAGCCCCTCAGATAACCCCTTGCTGTGTCCCTGGGGAGTGGGGCTCAGGAGCAGACAGGTTTTGCTGCCTCACTGCCCGTGACCAAAATAAAACTGGCTCTGGAAGGGAGCAGGAGGCCTGCTGGGCAAAGGGACAAACTAGGTCAGTGTTGTCAGGTGTCTTCAGCTCTGCCTCGCCTTCACTTTAAAGAAAAGAAAGAAGAAAAAAAAAAGGAAAAAAAAGCCAGGAAACCCACAAAGCAGCAGCATCACAGCCCTTTGTATTTTAGTCACCAGCATTGGACCAACTTCCCTCAGCTGCCTCTTGGAGATGCTTTAGAGATGAGCCACAGCTCATGATTTCCATGGGGGATGCTGAGCAAAGGAAAAATGATGGGAAAAAGCACATGGTTTTGACTAAGCTCTTTTGGGTTCTGGTCCTGCACTCTGGGGTGGGTGCATGGAGGTCTGGACAATTAAATATAGAATAACTCGTCTCATCTTCTTCAGAAAGTGCTGCAAAAGACTGTGCAGGGAAAGAGAGGCCTCTGGGGGCCTGTAAAAGGCACAGCCATGGGGGAGTGCGTGCTGGTAGCTCCAGGTCCTGGAGAGCCCAGGGAACCTGAAGGAATAAGCCCAGTTTGTTCTCATCAGAGGGTGAGGTCACTGCTGGACAGCCACGTGGAGTTTGGGAACCACTGGGGGATGCTGACACCAAACCCCTTCAGCACTGCTGCTGGCTTTGCTCAAGGTCTGTCTGAGTGGAAGTGAGGGACTTTCCTTCCTCCCCCTTCCTGCCCCATGCTGATTTGCACCATGATTATTCTCATCCTGCCCTGATAATTGGGATTGTGGCAATCCCAGTTGGGATTCAATGGGCTGAGACTCAATGGCAAACTGGAGCACAAAGCTCCTCCAACACGCTCAGCTGCTGCTCCCAGTGCCTGCAGGGACAGCAGGAAGTGGCTCAGCCCCCACAGCTCAGCTGCCATGGGAGGATTTGGGTTTTCTCCGAAGTGAACGGGCTGCCAGAGCAACTTCCAAACTTCTGCAAAGTTTGGGCAGAGAAATGTTGTTTATTCCTCTTTAATCAAGCACAAGCAGAAGGTGCTGAGCAGGGCAGATCAGGCTGCTGCTTTCCATTGCCTGCTACTGGCATTTGTTTTGTTATTTTGAATTATTTTAATTATCAATCGCTATAATATATCTTTCCTCCTCCATTCACCAATTTAATACAGAGTAAAGTTGTAATAAGACAGGCTGAAGGTAGGCAGCAGGAAAGCTTCCTGCCAGCCACTGTGAGGATGTTCTGGCCTTTGGCATGTTGAAGTGTCTCCATCCCTAAGGAAAAATGAAAGTTGATTAAAAACAAAAATAAATTAAAATAATCTTTAACTAAAGAAAATCTGACCCTGGGGAATAGGAGTGGGTAAATGATCCATCTCAGTGCCAGCAGGCTGCTTTCTGTGATATTTGTAGGATGGTTTGTATTTTAAAGGAAGAAATTGAAACCAAATCGTGCTGATTGTTAAAAAATTTTAGCTGCTGTTTGTGAAAAAGCTTGTCATGGAAAGGAGGGAACAGCCAGCTCAGTGCAGAAAAAGGCAGAAAAAGGCGTGGGGAATTTCACACTGGGAGTCACTCTGAGCCAGAACACGTTGTGCAAAGGTCTTGACTGTTTAAATACTGCCAAGTGCCTCCCTTTTGCCCTCTCTTCTGGATATTAAAAATTACTGTCTGCTGACAGATTTGATGGCAGCAGGGTGGGTTTGGGGACTGGCAGTGAGTGATTCAGAGCAGTCAGGAAAGGGCATTGCCTTTGCTGCCCCTGGCTACAAGCTCAAAGTCCCTTCTGCATCCTCAGCAGCCTCCATGGGGCTGGGAGGGCAAACAGCACCTGGCTTTTGGGGCTAAAGGCTCTCTGAGGGATGGCCTCACAGCCCCGTGTGCCCCACAGCTGACAGGGTCCCTGGCTGTGTTTCAGGCTGGATTTGGCTGGGCCATGGTGCAGCTGGAGCTGTGGGCGGCCGCGGCGCTGATGCTGCTCGGGGCGGCCGTCAGCCTCTGCATCAGGTGCCAGCTCTCAGGTAAGTGCTGAGAATTCCACCTGCCTGGAATTCCCTCCTGGAATGTCCTCCCCACCCTGGGAGTTTGGCTCTGCTCAGCTGGGTACCAGCTTCGCCCCTGTGGGGATGGGTTGTGGTCCGTGGTGGTGCTGGGCACAACCTTCACCGGGAGCGTCCTGTGCCAGCGGGGGGGAGCCGGGAGAGCACAGCACACAGACAGACAGACACAGACATAGAGACAGACACAACGACAGACAGACAGACACATACATAGACAAAGACACAGACAGACACACCCACAGAGACACAGACAGACACACACATGAAGCAACTCAAAAGTGAAGACACAGGCAGCTCCAGGCATGGAGTTCAAATGAGAGTTTATTGACACTGATGGGTACAGAGACCAAAAATACAAACTAAGGAGGGTCCAGGGTATAAATCCAGAGAAGGGACCAATAGGGAATGCCAGGGTGGATGGGTGGGGTTACACAAACCAGTGGGAACACAGGGAAGGGAGAACTCTCTAGAACATGCACATATAGGGAAAAACGGGCAGGGAAGGCCAATGGGCCAATGGGGAGGACAGAACTGGGACAAAATAATATAGTTCTGCAGGGCACCATGGAGAAAGCTTCTTCCCTTGCCCTGAGCTCTGAGGAGTGCCTGGAGCCTACAGTGCATCTCTCCAGGGCAGTGGTGTCACCTTCTCCCCAGTAGGATCATGGACATCCTTGGGGATGCTCCCGCAGCTTGAGCATGGATGAGGCTCTGCCAGAGAGCCAAGAGAGAAGGAACACCCAAAAGTGCAGCTCCCCTTCCCTGGGGCAGATGTAACACTGAGATCCCTCTACATGGCCATCGTGGTGGGTGGCTTTGGGACTCCACCTGGGAGGACGAGCTGCAGTTACCAAATCCTGCAGAGGGTCTGGGACAGAAGGGAGGCCAGGGGAGCCTGGAGGATAAATTCATACAGAGAGTAGGGTGAGCACCCAGTGGGGTTTGAGCCCCTCCCTGAACATTGGGTTTTCATGGGGGAGAGGCTGTAGTTTGGGGTTTGGGGGCAGGACTGGCTGCTTTGCTTTGTGGAGGTTGAGACAAAAACCACAAGGCAAATGTCGTTTCAAAAAATTTCATCAAAGCCCTACTGCAACTGCTGCTCACTGACTGCGCTGTCCTGATGTGCTGAAGAAGTTTTGTGAATGATTTTATTGGCCTTCCTGATCTCTAATTCCCAAATTATCCTTTCTAAGAGCTTTTTGTTCCATTGTCTTCCAGCTACCAAACGGGAGGCACAGCTGAACCAGCGGAGGAGCCAGTAAGTTGCCTTTCCCAATCATGTTTCTCCCCCAAACAACTCAGCCAGGGTGAGCCCCAGAACCAGACCCAAGCTGAAATATGAGATAAAATAAAATAAAATAGAATAAAATAAAATAATGCCAGGATGAGAGGCAAGGCACTGTGCCCCAGCCCAAGGTGCTGCTGAATGGGCAATGCCTTCACAGAGAATAATCCAAACTGAAACTGAAGCTGATTGTGACATTGTTGAATCATTAACTAGTTGGAAAAGGAGAGAAGAGCAAGTTGTTATCCTGTTCTGTTGTGCCCTGAGATGAGATGGAGAGATTATTTACTCCATAAAGAAGCCCCTGCCCTTGGACCGTGTAGCAGAGCATCCACTGACCTGCAGCACAAGAAATGAAGGAAATGCAGTGTGCACACATGCACTGCCCCTTATTTCCTTCAGCAACAGACAAACCACAGTAAATGATGTTAAAAGAAAGAAAAGTTGGGCTTTAAGCTTTGTTACAGGAGATGCAATGTGGCTCTGCAAAGGCTTCCAAGGGGTTGGGGTTTTGTTTCTGTGGGAAAAGCTCCAGAGTGATCCATTGCAGATGGAGCAGCCACTGTCCCCCACAGGCTCCATCCCTCACAGACTCTTGCTGAATTGTCCCAACTTCTTGAAATGGATTTGGGCTCAGTTTTGTGGTGTTGTGTGCTCTTTCTGGAGGAGTGGTTTGCAGGCAAAGTGGTTTGACTCTATGTTTGGGTGTTTTGATAGCCTGGGGCCATGAAGCCCAGCTGGGTATGGGGCAAGCCCAATGGAAAAGGGGGAAAGGGTTCCCAAAGTTGCAATTAATAAGTACCTGGGTAGAAATACCTGCAGTGGAAAAGATGTTGAGTTCTCATGTACTTCAAAAAGCAGCTCTCCTATTAACTGAAAAGTAAAGAGGTTCCTGGGCATAGGTTATCATTAGTAATGTTATTTTATTCGTGATGATATTAAGGGATGATGGAATGGGCAGAGGCAGCAGTGGAGGTGAAGCAGTGGGGTTTGAAGCCATTTCACATCTATTTTTTTGTGGGTAAAAAGGCTCTTCTGGCCTTTGGTGGCTGAAGCATCCAAATGAGAATTATCCTAAATTATGTTTTCCTCATTCCTGGATGCTTCCCTTGCTGGTGCTGGCTGCTCTGCCAGTGGTTCAAAACAACATCTTGTCCTTAAAGGATCAAAGAAGAGCCCAGGAAGATGCTCCCAGCTCATACAGGCCCTGCATGACGTGCTGAGCAGTGTAGCTGGCATCTCACAGAGCCCAGCAGGGTGCTCTCTGCCCTCCACTCACCAAATAGATCTCTTGTATCTGTTTTCCTTGTTATAAACTCCAAAACTCAGCTGAGGTTGTACTGCTGTTTTTTCCAGGCTTGAAAGCCAGCAGAGATTTGAGGTGATTCGATCCCATACCAGTGAGTATGAACATTGCACGTGGCTCCTGCCCCGTGGTGAGGGCCCTGCATGCACAGAACGGGGGGAAAGTAATGTTCAAAGGGTCACCTTGAAGCCAGGCCGTGAAATGATGAGACCTGGATTGTCCAAGCCACCTTAGATGCTTCCGGGTGTGTGAATTCTGAGCTTTAGGGGAAAAAATGCCCTTTGAATTGAGAATAATTCACTAAAGCATTGTCGTTGAAAAGTGACACCTCAGCTGCTGGGGCTCTTGGGCCAAGCAGGGCACCCTGTGAGAGTGAAGGTGTGGCTGACAGAGTGACTCACTCATCATCCCCCTCACTGCTTCCTGCAGCAGGCTGGCTGCAGTGATGAACCCCTGGGCGTTGTGCCACAGGAGCACTGCCAGGCCCGTGTGCCCCTCTGCCCTGCCCGAGGGCTCTGCTGGCTCCAGGCCCCCCTGCAAGTCTTTCATCCCCCCAGGCAAGGCTCTCCACTGCCCCTTGCAGTGTGGAGGGAGGGAATGGCCCCAGTCACGCGGGTTTGCAGGTGACAGCAGCTGGGGTTGTGGCCTCTCCAGCGAGCGTCTGCACGCCCTGTGGTCTGCACAGACACCAGCTTTCCCTCTAGTTGTTCCTTGTTTGACCATTTTTGAACATTCAAGGAACAATCTGGAAGCTATTTTAGGATGCATTAGGAAAATGCTTGCCAGTCCCAGGGGTTCCTCTCTGGTGGATGTTCTGTGCTCTTTGACACATCTGCTGCTGCCACAGTAATTAACACTGGAATTTTGTTGCTGTTGCCAGTTGCAACCCGAAGGCTGGAAAAAAGTAAGGAACCTGAAAACTTCTCAATAGCAAGGTAGGAAAAACCCAAATAAAATCTACCTCTAGAGCCAAGGCTGGATGAAGTTCACCCAACACAGATGAACATTTGGGGATTGCATTCTGGGCCCTGTAGATATGGCTTGGGCTGTATTTAGAATCAAAGAATAGTTTAGGTTGCAAGGGACCTTTCAAGGTCATCTAGTCCAACCCCCTGGTGAGAACAGAAACATCTTCAACTTGATTGGGTTGCTTCACGAGTTGATGGTCAGTAGTATATTTAGACTTTTTCTGGATTTTGTTCAGTATGATTGCATTCTTCTGGCAACTGATTAAATCAAACCCAGGAGAGTGAGCTGTGGCTCTACATAACAGATGCAGCATGGAAAAGAAATGGCCATTATTCACTCACAAGCAGTTTGGTGTGATAAATCCCCTTCTCCCCATCACCCAAACCCCCAGTAACTAAACAGCCATTGTAACTCTGCTGCAATATTCAAACCTACATATTCCCATTTTGGGATTTTTACCCCAAATTCTTAATCTCCCCTTGTACTCTGTGTGTACTTGATAACCTTGCAGGGAGGTTTTCTGGATGGTCCTTCTGATGGTGTGTAACTGCTGGTAGGGTTTGCTCAGACCTGGGATTTTAGGTCTCTTTTCTCTCTTTCAGTAAAGCCACTGAAGAGCTCAGTGCTTCCCATCACCCTGGATATGGTGAGCAGCTTCCTGGCACAGGCACAGATACAATGAGCCACAGAGCTGTTGGAGGTGGAAGGGACCTTAAAATCATCTCATTCCACCCCCTGCCATGGCAGGGACACCTTCCCCTAGCCCAGGCTGCTCCAAGCTCTGTCCAGCCTGGCCTTGGACACTTTCAGGGATGGAACAGCCACAGCTGCTCTGTGCAGCCTGTGCCAGGGCCTCACACCCTCACAGGGAGAAACCTCTTCCCAATATCCTCCCTAACCCTGCCCTCTGTCATGGGAAGCCATTCCCCCTTGTCCTGTCACTCCCAGCCCTTGTCCAAAGTCCCTCTCCCCTTTGGAAGGGGCTCTGAGGTCTCCCCAGAGCCTTCTCTTTTCCAGGCTGAGCAACCCCAGCTTTCCCAGGCTGTCTCCAGAGCAGAGGGCTCAGCCCTTGGAACACCTTTGGGCACTCCTCTGGACTTGCTCCAACAGATCCACGTCCATCTTAATTGGGGTCTGTCCTGGGCCTGGGTTTAAGGCCCAGTGCTCATCCTGCTCTGGCTGACCCGTCCTGGTTACAGCCTCAGGCACAGATTGTTTAAAATATCACCCCTGGCTGTCCCATTCCAGTACCCTGGAGTGTCCAACCTTGCAGCCGTGCCCCCTGACCCCAGAGCTGAGGGGGATAGAGCTGCTGCTGCTGAAATACTTGGTGCTTGCCTCCACTGTCAAACTGCTCCCATCACTCAGCTTCAGTTCATGTCTAACGTGTCCCTCTCTTGTCCCCAGGGAGCAGGGACGAGCCCAGGTACCAGAATTTCCTGACAGGTAAATGCTGCAGCCATGTGTCTGGGAAGGAAGGCTGCCAAGGGGATGGGAGCTGGCAGGGAGCACATTTTTTTTCCAGGGGATGGGAGCTGGCAGGGAGCCTGCAGTGCAGCTGGCAGAGCTCTGGCTCGGTCAGTTTAGAGATGTTTTTTGTGAGACACACACTGATCTGATTAAGGGGCAGAGCAGAGGGGGATGGATGCTCCCGAGCCCGCTGCTCCCTCCCGGGGCAGTGTGAGCTGGTGCCTGCCCTAAGAGGATTATTGGTGTGTGGGGCTGTGCTCTCCTTTCCCAAGCCAGGGAGCATATTCCCCATCTCCTGCCAGCTGGCAGGATGTGTCCATGAGAGGGGGTGAGCCGGGGCTGTCCCAGGACCTGGGGTGGATCAGGGCCACCTCCCTGTGCTCCAGCCACCCTGCTCTGCTGTGGGGCTGTGGCTGGGCTGGGGGGTTTGTCCAGCTGTGCCCAGGGATGGCTGTTCAGCTTGATGCCATGGTGGGGTGCTGACAGCAAACCCTTGTTCTTACAGAGAGCTGCCTGCAAGAAGAAACTGCCTATGTGTGAGTACCCTATGCTGCTGCCAGTGTGCCCTGGTGCTGCCCTAGCTCAGCCTGGGGAGCCCGTGAGGGCAGGAGGAGCTGACAGTGCTGCTCTTCCCACAGGGAGCCCATGTCTCTGGATCACTACTACAACTGCAGCAGGCTCTTCAGTCCACCCCGTGCCAGGTCTGCAGGCAAGCCAGGTGGGTTCCTCCATCCAGCCTGGCTGCCCCTGGGCTCCAGGGAGCTCGTGAACTGTTCTTGCTGAGCTCTGTGTATGGCCTGAAGCAAGGGGACACGTTCCTTCAAAGGTTGCAGCAGAGCTGTGGGATTTGAGGGATGCCCAAGCCCCCATCAGTCCATCTGTTGCCTGCAAACAGGACAGCCCAAAACCATTGGTGATTGTGCTCCTGTGGGAGTGAGCACCCGATGCCATCCCTTGGTCACCACAGGCTGTCACTAAGACTAACAATTTTTTAGCTAATCTACATTTCACTGTGGGAAACAGCCCCCTCCTGCAGGTGCTGGGGGATCTTCCCAGGTCCGGGGGATCTTCCCAGGTTCTTTGTCACTCTTCTTTCTTCTCTCCATCAGAGAAAGATGAGGATTCCTGTTCCTATGAAAATGTCACCATTGGAGCATCTCAGGGCTCTGATTCAGGTAAGGGTGCTGCTGTCACAGGTCATGTGTGTCACACAAAGTGCAGAGAAGGATGGTGACCTGCTCAGCCAAGAGAAACCTGCTTGTTCACAGCCATGGAGCTGGCACACAGGCCTGGAACATTCCCCCTTTCTGCAGAAAAATGCACATGGTGACACCTCCACCCAGGTGCCTTTGACTTGGTGGTTTCTGCAGGAATTCAGGAGCTTTGGGGTCTGCATCTTTAGGTTTTTGGTGTTGTTCTAGCCAGGATGATTATGGTTCTAGCCCCTAGCTCAGGTTTCTCACCAAATCCAGCACAAGAAGGCTGCAGCCAGGAAGCTTCTGGAGGGTGGCACTGGATCACAGTGTGCCTTCAGGGCTTCCAGCATCAGTCCTGGGATGTTGCAATCAAAATAGGAAGTCAGTTTTGTTTCCTTCTGTGAGCTAACACACGCTTTCTGCACTGCTGAAGCCTGCCCTGCTCCTGCCTGGCTTTGTGCAGTGATTAGAGGAGGCAGGAGCAGCAGGGACCTGTCTGATCCCCATCCATGCCTGCAGAGATCCAGGCACGTGGCCAGGGCTGGAAAATGATGAGGCAGCACCAGCAGATCTGTGCTGGCTGGAAACTCAGCCACGTGCACGGCGCAGTCAGGGGCAGGGGGGTTCACAAAGGCCCCTTTTTGTCCATTTGCTCTTCAGTATTGTCTTGTCCAAACTCCTCCTTGTCACAGATGACGCTGTGGACTATGAGAACAGCATGACAATACTCACATGGAAGCTCCAGCAAGGACAAGGTGGGTTCTCTGCTGTTATTTGCTGTTTGGGGATGGGGCTTATGGGCAGAGTGCCTGGAGCACCTGGGCCAGTACAGACCATGCAAGGGCAATGCAGCCATCACCCTTGTCCTGAGTTAATTTTTCCCCCAATTGTCCATGATAAATATCCAAGGCAATGTGCAAATTGTAACACACTCCTGTAACTGGATGCTGCTCTGCTGGGACGTGGTGTCTGTCATACTCCAAAGGCCACCTTTTGGGTGGCTGTGCCTAAACCCTCACAGGGGATGCTACAGAAAAATGTTGCTCTTCAGGTCTTATATCCTCTTACATTTGAGGTTGCCCCAGAGGGGGCACAGCTGTGAAATCCCCTGTGACACAGAACTTTCTGCACACACCCAGTGGGTCAGCCCTTGGCTCTCCTGCTGTAGTCAGGGCCCTATTTCTCAAGCTGACCTTTTAACCACAGTTTCATTTAACGTGTGGCTTCCTGTGAGGATGAGGCTAGTTCTGGCCTGGGGGACAGTGGGGAGTGAACACATATATATTTAAGATCTCTGGTGTGAAAGTTGTCTGAGCAAAGTGATTCCTGTTTGCACACTCCAGATTAAATCTTTTTTGGCTCTGAAGAGCTGCCCAGAGTGTTTGCAAATTTGCTGTGATCATTTTGAAGCCTCTTCAAGGAGACCTTGACACTGGTCTGAGTTTTCTTAGCCCAGGCACAAAAACATGTCAGCAGCCAAGGCTAAATATTGGCAGGACACGTGCTGTGTCAGTGATCTGTGTGTTTCTACATTGTGTGTTTTTAAATTGTGTGTTTTTACACCACTCACTGATGAGTGCTTGCCATCCCCATCCACAGCCCCACTGACAGAAAGCCTGGATGATGAGCCAGACTACATCAACACAGCTCCTGTGTCAGGCCGTGCCCTGCTGCCACAGCAAAGGTAGAAACAGAGTAAATGGTTGGTGTGCTAATGGAGGGTGGCAGGATTTGGGTTATGGTGTTTATTTAGGGGTGGCAGGATTTGGGTTATGCCAAGGGAGTTGAGCTGGAGCTCTGCCCTTGCTGGCAGCACCAGCACAGTTGCCCACACGGGCAGTGGAGTGTGAGGAGCCCACCCTGTGCAGTGCCTCATCCCTGGTGATGCCAAGCTGACTAACACAGACCATGGAGACAAATTTGTCCAAGTGCATGTCCCAGCTCCAGCACTGCCCTCCTCCAATAGGCACAGGAACTCCAAACTGCTCCAGAGCAGCTTCAGCCAGCGCTGGCACGGGCTGTGGGCAGGGACACCCAAACCCCCTGCTCTGAGCAGGGATTCCCTCAGCTGAGCCCTGCCTGCTCTGCTAAGACCACACATCCTGCCCCAGCATCAGCACCAGCCTGAGGCTGCTGATAAAGAATTTCTCAGGGAAGATAAAGTAAAAAAACTGCAGAGGGATGCAGAAGGGTTGCATGACACTGAGGGACAGTGAATGATGTGCTGGTTGGTGCTGGTCATCCTGCTCCAGACTGGACTAGGACTCCAGCTGGGAGATGGACTGGGACCAGTATCACTCTCCTTGTTGGGTTTTTACCCTCTTGAGCACCTAGAGAGGCCCAGTGGGATTGTCCTTCTGCCACATGCCAGCTGCTCTAGTTTTAGGGGGTTTTATATTCCCCAGACTCTAGGCACCAGCAGTGGCCAGACTCCCAGAATTGGATCTTTCTGAAGATTTGTCCCCACCATGCAAAGCACAGTGATCCCATTCTGCACACTAGGGCATTTGCTGCTGCTGGATGTAGCTGGACATGGAAAAAGCCAGCCTGAGAAACCTGACCATATATTGCTGCCAGGCATCTTTTTGCCTGTGTTGTAGCCTTTGCTAGCAGAGAAATAGTCTGAAATTTCAATGTCCAACCAACAAATGCCAGCAGTTCTCCACCAAGGGAGGCTGAACTGAGAAATGGGCTCCTGGTGCCTCTGTGCCTCCTGCTCTGATCAGGGATCATCCTCCAGGAGCACAACTGGGGTTTCTGCTTAGACAGGGACATTTTGTGGTGTATGTCACTACTTGTGCCTGGAAAGAAAATGTAGCAGGCAGCAGAGTTAAGCTGAAAGCAGGGATTAAAAATCAGTGGACTCACTGTTTTTTTTCCTCTTATTTCAAGTATTCTGCATAAAGTCTGAAGAAATCTCTTGCTGAGCAGTAAGAGCACACCCAGTGAACAAGCACACGGGGAGAGGCGAGATTTCCATCCCTCAGTGAAATCTCTTCTCCAAACTGTGCCTGCAGTGACATAGAAGGGGTGTTACTGAAAGAACTGCACTGCTTGAAGCCCCACAGAAGTCCAACTGCAAACCAGCAACTGGAGAAAGTGTTCTGCCCCCAGAGACCACGGGCAAGCCCCAGGCTCCTCATCCTCAGTTTCATCCCAATCCCATTTCCCTGCGTGTCCACTAGAAGATGGCCAGTCTGGGCAATGTTTTCTCCTGTCAGGCATTGAGTCCTTAACTTGCTGAGCAGTAATGCAGCAGCTACTTAATTTGTCAGGGTGACTCATGCACGATGGCATTAAGCCGGAGGGATTACGTTCTGATTTAGTTCCTGTGCTCTCCTACAGAAGCAGTTTCCTACGAGAGAGGAACTGGCGAGGCAGAGGTGGTGTTTGTAACAGCAGTGGCTGTCTGGAGCTGAATGAGATTCCAACCTGTTCACAAAAGCTAAAGAGGATTTAATGCCTGCTTATCCATGGGCATGCAATTCACAGTGTTGGTCTATGGCAGTTTGCCTCATGTTTCAGTACCTATTTTATAATGATACAAAGAACCAGCAGCAACTGTGAGAGTCAGATCCACAGCCACCAGCCTCAGAAACTGCACCATCCTTCACTATGGCTGTTGGAACATCATCCCAGGAACAGAATCCCATCTCCTCACCCCTGATGTACAGATCTGGCGCTTCTGGAACACTTATTTATTAAAACTGAAAAGCTTCCAAAGAAAATGTGTTTTGCTGTGTTTTGCAATGATAGACATCTGCATGATCAGGTGACAAAGAAATGGGAGGACATGAGGTGACATGGAGTGATGTGCAGGGTCTTATGGGGAGAAACTGCATTAAAAGCCTTCTTCCTCAAAATCAGATCAGAAAACTGTGTTTCAGGAAAGAACACAGCCCACACCCCACACTCATGGTGCGTGAGCAAAGAAGGGGAGCTAAGGGTTAGAGGGCTGTGGTGTGGGAGAAGGGATGTCAGGTGCTTCCTGCTGCAGCTGACTGGGCTCTAATTTTAGCAGAACCACCAAGAGAGACCACAGGTGCCCACCGTTGGTGCAGCTGAAATGGTGGGTTGGAGTTTGGCTCAGGAGAAGGTTTGCTAGTGGTCCTTACAAATGCTACAATTTTACACAGGACTTTTACAACAGAGGAAATCCGTGCACTAAGGGATGCACACAGGCCGGGAGCTGCAGCCTGGTTTTCTGCTCACCCCAGCCCGGCTTCTCCTCACACCCTTAAGTTTTCTGATGGTCAAATGCTCTGCAAAAAGTCTGCACAGGTGCATGGCAGCAGGGTTCCCCAGAGCCAGCAGCACAAACAGTGACAGGCAAAGGGACTTTTGTCACTGAAATTGTGCCTGGACCTCACAGGGCTATGGGGCTGTTGGATTCATCCTCAGCACCTGAAGAAGCTTCCACTTGCCATGAAGTGCTGCAGACTGTGGATTGTTCACTGCAAGGGTGAGCTCATGTGAGTGATGTCTGGTGGTGTTACCCACTGGTGATTCATCTCCCAGCCAAGGGAGCCATTCATGAACAGGAGATTAGCAGCAGTGACAGATCCTTGGCACACAGCAACAGATCCAGCTGGACACCTCCCAGAAAGTTCTAGGCATTAGGTCAGTGCATGGTCAGAACATGAAAATACAAGATTTATTGTTCTCCTCACGAAGCAGGGAGGCAGATTACACCAGTTAGATTTTCTTGGTACAAGAAAATGGTACAATTTGCCAATCCTCCTTTGCCAAAGCCTGAGCTTTAAAGTTATGGAGCCAAAGCAGGCAGGACAGAACTGGATGTGGAGACTCTTCACTTACTGGGGTCTGAACAAATCCCCTTTGCAGCTCTCCAGAGCAGTCAGCTGTAGTGAGGCGTAAATCCTTTGCAAAGCTTCTGGAGCACTTCTCAGGCAGTCATCTCATTACACTGGAAGCTATCCAGGGGCTGTTTCAGGAACTCTCATCAATAACATTTGTTATTAGTCTTGCTCTGAACCACCTCACTGTTTTTCTCTGCAATGAGTGAGTACAGATGTGTGTGTTCACTGCCATGCTGTCCTTTTGGGACTGGCTTTAGGTGTGCAAGGGTTTCTGGTGCTCAGCCAGAATTGATAGACTCTGTTGTTTGAACCTAATGCAAGGAGACTTACATCTCCCCTGGGTCCACCTCTCTCCACATTAGGTAGGCAGTTAAGTGAGAAATTCACTTCCTGTTTTCAATTTAAGGCGCTTTAGAAAAGTAGTTCTGGCTGGTGCAGCTCTGAAAATGGAGCTGGGGAGTCTGTGCTGAGTGCTGGAAAGCAGCAGCTCTGCACTCAGAGGGGGAACAATCGCCTGTGGAGAGCAGGAGGTGTTGGTGGCCTCTGGGATCAATACTAGTCCTCTTCTTAGGAAGAGTGAGTGTGATTGTGTCCCTGCAGAGCTGGAAAGGATTAGCTCAGAGGGGAGTCTGCTCCGAACTGGAGCTGTGAAATGCAGCTACTGAGTAGAGAAGAAAAACCCTCTGAAACCAGGTAGGAGCAGGAACCTGACCCATCATGTTCCTCATGAGGCACATCTCACAGGGTAAGCACTGGCCTTGAGTCATCCAAATATGGTGTTTGCTGGTTTATGAAACATTCATGGTAATTCATCCAATGATCACATTTAATGAGAAAGCAAAGACAGGGTAGGCTGGCTATGACGTACAGTCAAAGGAAAATTAACCTTATTTAAATTTCTGGGACAAAAGCTGTGATGCTGTGTCCGTAGAAAGCTCAGCAGCTCAAGCCCCAGTAATAAACTATCAGTTGGGTATTTTATAGAGTTTGTCCTGATAGTAACTTGCTGGGTGGGAACCAAAGCCTATGTTCAATACATATCTAGTGAAGAAAGAACGTACTTTGAGCATTACATCCATTATTCCAGGTGCTGTTTGCTGCACTCCCTGCAGTTCAGCTGCCAATTCCCTTGCTCTCCTGCACATAGAATCACAAACGTTTGTCTGCTGGCTCTGCCAGAGGAGCTGCAGGAAGACTTAAGGGGAAAGTCATGATGCCACCAGCTCTTGCTGCTGAAACTTGTGACCCCCTTGGCTTGTCGGAGGACAGGAGGGTGTGCCCAGCCCCTGCCTCAGTGCAGGACCAGTCCCCAGGCTGAAGCCAGCTGGTGCTGCCAGGAAACATCCATTTGGGCAGTGAGACAGCTGCAGTGGGGAACTGAACACTTGGGGTGGAAATCATCAACAAAATGGGCAGAGTGAAGTGCAAGCACCAGCAACTTGTGCCTCTGCCACTCTTTTGTGTGACTGCTGTAACCAGACCATGCTTAATTGCAAGGCCTTTGGCACTGTGTCCCACAGCATTCCCTGGGAAGGCTGCAGCCCAGTGCTGGGACAGGAGCACTCTGTGCTGGGTTCAGAACTGGCTGCATGGCCGGCCCGGAGAGTGCTGGTGAGGGTGCTGCATCCAGCTGGGGCCAGGCACCAGGGGTGTCCCTCAGGGCTCTGTGCTGGGGCCAGCTCTGCTCACTGTTTGCATTGAGGACATGGATGAGGGGATTGGGTCTTTCATTAGTAAATCTGCAGGTGACACCAAGCTGTGAGCATGTGTTCATCTGTTGGAAGGTAAGAAGGGTCTGCAGAAAGACCTAGAATGGTTGGATGGATGAGCAGATTCCAAAACAATGAGGTTTCATAAATCCAAGTGCCCAGTCCTGCATCTTGGCCACAATAACCCCCTGCGGTTGTGTAGGAAATAATTTTTCACAGAAAGGGTGATGAAGTTCTGGAATGGCTGCCTGGGGAGGTGGTGGAGTCACCATCCCTGGATGTGTTTAAAAAAAGACTGGATGAGGCACTCAGTGCCATGGTTTACCTGAGATATTAGGTCATGAGTTAAGACTTGATGATCTTAAAGGTCTCTTCAACCTTGTGATTCTGTTAATTATATTAAGATGTATCTGCTTGGAGACACAAGTCTCACATCTCTTATTAGGTGGTCAAATTCAATTTATAGTTACTTTCTCTCTGCATTTCACACTCAATTGTCCATCTACACTGGCAAGGTGTTTCTGAAACTGGACAGGCAAACATGACTCTGTAGCATTTTGGCAGGCTGAATCTATGACATTACCTAACCTGGAGAAACAAGGACAGGAAAGGGAACTCAAATGCAGAGCATCCCAGAATTTAGTAAAGTTTTTTAAAGATTACAAAACAAATATCCAAAATACAGTGGCATCATTAAGAAATGTGTAATATTTCTCCTGTATATTTGCTGAAAATACCTTCCCTGTCCACAGACAAACAGCACTTGCTGAATGTGTCTCAATTATAACTTCAGTAAATGCTGTATTTTGTGCCAAAAATTTCCTTCTTGGTCTTGTTGAGATCACTCATGACCAGTCTTGAAGTGTAATCCCTAACAGCAGGATTCCATTTTTGTTTCTCCTGCTTAGGTCTCAATACCAAGGACATAAGCAGTTTTGTTGAGTGCACTGGACAGACCTCAATTGCTCTGGACTGTCACAGTCCTCTCTTCTATCCTGCTTATAAAACACATACAATTTTGTGTGTTAAAGTAAATTTTAGAGCTTTATTGGTCTAAATAGAAAAGTATGAAACATTTTTGCAACAAAACCTGGTTTCCTCCCAGAGGGCTCGAGGAGGTGCCTAACTGGCTGCAGGGGCTGCAGTCTTCTGGCACAGCCGGGCCAGCAGCCCAGCCATTTGTAAAAGGGAGTTCACACCTTCTGCTATCTTCATGTGGGTGTACCCAATTTCCTGGTGACAGAGACATTGTCAAGTCTTCTGTTTACTCCCCCAGTCTGTGTATATTTTATTAATGACTAAACAGAACATACCCCTTACTGCTGAAAGACCAGCTTTGAGTCACTCGTACTTCAGAGAATGCATCTACTTCTACAAACTGACTAAAATGCCTTTTCTTTTTAAAATCAAAAGCCTGTATTTCCCCACTTCCTTTATAAGAAGCAAGGTGCCTGCATATGAGGACAGGTTTCAAATATGAAGAGTGATTCCATAACACCAGCTGTTTGTCAATTCTGTTAATTTAGTATTTTACTATCTATTGGACTAGAATCAAGTATGCACTTGAAAAACATTTTCAAGGAGTTATCTGAGGCTTTGAAATTACTAATAAATTCAGCATTACATCTGTTATTAATTTTAGCTGATCACTAAAACGACTTCTGGCACTTCTGTGGGTGTTGAGATGCTAAACTTCAGGTGACTTCTCACTGACAAACTGATGATGCAGTGGGAAAGAAAGCAGTAATGAGTCAAGAAGCACTTTCTTTGTGCTAATATACAAAAAATTTTAAACAGAAACCCCTAAGGCTGCCCCTAATCACATCCTCTTCTTAAAAAGGCCCAAAAGGCCCCATCAGGAGCTGAGTTAGTACCAACCTTGATAAATTCCAGTTTCAGATATTCTGGCATTTGAAAGGTCTTACACACACGGAAGATATTGCCAATGACATCTTCTGGAGAGTATCCAAGGCGCCACAGGTGGGCAAGAATCTGTGCAGGCAAGAATAATCCCCCATTTATCTGCCAGGTGAGTCAGGGAGATTCACTTTTGGAACAGCTGTATATAATTACTGAAATTGCATCTACTGTTTATCAGCTGATTTAACCTCAAGCATCTAGCAATTAATTTCACTACAACTTCTTTTTTTGCTTCTTGGCTTATTTATCTCA